CATGTTTGACGTTTTCTGTGTGATAATGAACAAAACGTAGATGGTTTTATTTATAAATAAATGTAATTTCTTAATGTTCTTATTGTATCACTGATGTGAATAACAATAAAGGTATTTCAATATAAATCTCCATGAATAAAGTCACTGAAGCATGGCGCGGCTGCCTTCTGAGCTGCCAGCCGGCCTTGTGGCCTTGTGGCAGTCTTGTGAGTAACTTCAACACAGTCTACACGTCTATTGAGTCCCTGTACTGCGTGCTGAGCTACCCACCCAAGACTCAACCTATCCACCTATGGAACGCCAAACGTACCAATTTATGATGTTACCGGGTAAACGTAATATGATGATGTCGTCAATCTATTATGTGATGTCGTCAATCTATTATGTGATGTAGTCAATCTATTATGTGATGTCGTCAATCCATCATGTGACGTCGTCAATCCATTATGTGATGTCGTCAATCTATTATGTGATGTAGTCAATCTATTATGTGATGTCGTCAATCCATTATGTGATGTTCACAATCCATTATGTGATGTCGTCAATCCATTATGCGATGTCGTTAATCTATTATGTGATGTCGTCAATCCATTATGTGATGTAGTCAATGCATTATGTGATGTAGTCAATCCATTATGTGATGTAGTCAATGCATTATGTGATGTAGTCAATTTATTATGTGATGTAGTCAATGCATTATGTGATGTAGTCAATCCATTATGTGATGTCGTCAATCCATTTTGTGATGTAGTCAATCCATTATGTGATGTTGTCAATGCATTATGTGATGTAGTCAATCCATTATGTGATGTCGTCAATCCATTTTGTGATGTAGTCAATCCATTATGTGATGTAGTCAATGCATTATGTGATGTAGTCAATGCATTATGTGATGTAGTCAATCCATTATGTGATGTAGTCAATGCATTATGTGATGTAGTCAATCCATTATGTGATGTCGTCAATCTATTTCGTGATGTAGTCAGTCCATTATATCGTCAACCCATTTACGTGGAGTTACTGCGTAATGGATTGACAACACCGCATAATAGATTCACTACATCACATAATTCGGGAGCCAGGGTGACCGTTTTAGCTGACTAGTTTCGGCTAAATTTGACAGAATATTTCGGGCCAAAACGAGTGAAACACAAAGTTTAGCAGATCGATTTCGTTAAAGAGCAAGCAGAATTTTGTAATATAGGTATTTTGACGGAAAAATATGGCTGATTTGAAAATATAGCCGATTAGTTTTGAAAAAGCTTCAATTTGAAGCTGCCTGACTGTAAAGCACTTATGCCAGGATAGACACGTGCTGTAAAAAAAAAATCAATTAATTTTTTTAAAGCAAATTTTATATTTCTTTGTTTAAGAAAATTATAAACTGCATGTGATTATCAGTGTTTATAAATGGATATCGTTTAATAATAGATGATTTAGGCCCCACTAAATTTCCAGGCGCTTTTTCTTTCTTTCTTTAATCTGAATAATATACTTCTATTTTTATGAAAGTTCTAATCGAAAGGATAAATATATATACAGAATGTATCTCAATTTGTTAATTGGTATTAAGAATCTTTCATAGCACGACAAGTTTATGACCAGTTACACGGTTAGCGGTTCATAGGTATATTACTATTAGTCAAGACAATCTGATATTAAAAGGCCTCAATACTTGCTACGATCACTAAGGTGGGACATAACCAGTTAATTACAGAAGTTGACATATTCAGCACTTTCAATTTGTCTTGTAGGATTATACATGATCATAATCAAACGTTTACTGATCTATAACCACACTACCTGTTAGTACTTTTCTTGTTCCACTAATTCTTAATCCCATCCCACTTTGCCACCCACCGATCATTCCTGAAATAATTCGTTGTCTTTCGCGGCACATGGAAAATTTAAGTCTGTAATGATCTGTGCCGTTCTAAAGCGTATGTCCCTACCCCCCCCCCCCTTCCCCCTCTGATAGCTTGCAGGCAGTAAGGTTTTAGTTTTTATAACCGCCTGTCCACAACAATTGGACATAAAAAACCCTGACGGCCCTGACCTCCGACTCCCCTCCCCCCTGCAAAAATGCCTGGATCCGCCATCCGCCCTTCTGCTCAGTTGTTTTGAGCACGTGAACCTAATTAGCCTGCCCTTGGATCTCTGTCTCCAACAGATAAACTGGTTCATATAAATCTATCAACAAGCTTAATCTCCTTCCACCATTGTTTTCTTAAAGGGAATACACATCATTTGTTTTTGCTGTAATTTTCAGAAATGGATGGAATGGGGGGTTGGAAATATATAGCAAATATAGTGACACTGACTTTTTTGAGCGGGGTTTGGGTTCGAAAATGCTATAAAAACCAAGAAAAACTATCATTTTCCTGTAGTCTGGTTACCTGACTCCATATAAGAAGAAACAGAGCAGTTTACATACATTGGGGAATTGTAAGGTCAGGGAACCAGTCTTGCTGGCTCGTACCCGTTCATAGGTTTGTAATCGATTGCAAACAAGTGCGATGGTCACGGGGCCAGTATTTGGGGAAAAAAGCCAGTTGTTTCCAACGCTGATCGGCCGATCAGCGTTGGAAATTGATACAAAAATACCACTTTTCTTGAAAATGACAGTATACCAGGTGCACACTGTCATTCACTAACAGTCCAGCAAGGTATTTCAAAATGATTTGGTAGTTTTATTTTTTGATGTTTGCAAATGTTGTATTTTCCCTTTAATTCCCTCTTCTGCTCAGTTGCACAATAACTCACTGGATAATATTTTCGCATGCCTGTCTCAAACAGCGATGCTATGATAGCTAGCACATCCTCAGCAAGGTTCATCTGGATCTGGTAAAACTATTAAAAATGTCCAACCACCCTAGGGCTCTCTTCATACACTTCCCTGTACCTATATTCTCCATCGTACAGCAAGACGGCTCATTTTCTTGATGAAAACGAAATCATTCCAAAATTGAAGCATGCCGGTGCATCATGAATTTATGATAAAGAAATTAACTACAGGGCTCCGAAGGCGCGTCTTAAAAGAGCGCTGACCGAATTTATTGCCGTATAATAAAACCTGACTAGACACGACATTTATATAATTTGACGTCGCCGATGATGAAATTAATTTTAGCAAAATGTGCTTGGTACTTTTCATTGGGCTCAAGGGATAATTTAAACATGTTCTGTGTTCCATTATTATAATTAATAACAATGTCCGAAGTGTCATAAAAACAGACAAAGTCTTCATGGTAATATGTGTCTGGTAATTAGGATAACATTACGTCTGATATCGAGAGTCACATGTTCACAACTTTAACGCAGCACACGCCTGCATGCCGCTTCCACGTGAGTATGGTCAATGCAATACGCTGTGAGCTATCCCTTTATATAGTTCCTGCCAGGGTGACCGTAAGGTACTGGCAGCATTCTGCTAGATGTACTTTCAAAATCTGCTAGATTTAACAAAAATCTACTAAATCACCTATCATTACACGGAATTCATTATAACCACTTATGCTCACATGCAGTATATAATTTCCTTAAACAAAAGAAATATAAAATTTCCTTTAAAAAAATAATTGATTTTTTTTACTGCACGTGTCTATACTGGCATAAGTATTTTACAGTCAGGCAGCTTCAAATTGAAGCTATTTCAAAACTAATCGGCTATATTTTCAAATCTGCCATATTTTCCCGTCAAATTACCAATTTTACAAAATTCTGCTTGCTCCTTAACGAAATCGATCTGCTAAACTTTCTGTCTCACTAGTTTTTGTCCCGAAAAATTCTGTCAAATTTAGCCGAAATTCAGCTAAAACGGTCACCCTGGCTCCCGAATTATGTGATGTAGTGAATCTATTATGCGGTGTTGTCAATCCATTACGCAGTAACTCCACGTAAATGGGTTGACGACATCACATAATGGACTGACTACATCACATAATGGATTGACTACATCACATAATGGATTGACTACATCACATAATGGATTGACTACATCACAAAATAGATTGACATCACATAATGGATTGACGACATCACATAATGAATTGACTACATCACATAATGGCTTGACTACATCACATAATAGATTGACGACATCACATAATGGATTGAGAACATCACATAATGGGTTGACGACATCACATAATGGATTGACTACATCACAAAATAGATTGACGACATCACATAATGGATTGACGACATCACATAATGGATTGACTACATCACATAATGGATTGACTACATCACATAATGAATTGACTACATCACATAATGAATTGACTACATCACATAATGGATTGAGAACATCACATAATGGATTGACTACATCACATAATGGATTGACTACATCACATAATGGATTGACTACATCACATAATAGATTGACTACATCACATAAAGGATGGACTACATCACATAATGGATTGACGACATCACATAATGGATTGACTACATCACATAATGAATTGACTACATCACATAATGAATTGACTACATCACATAATGGATTGACTACATCACATAATGGATTGACTACATCACATAATGGATTGACTACATCACATAATGGATTGACTACATCACATAATAGATTGACTACATCACATAAAGGATGGACTACATCACATAATGGATTGACGACATCACATAATAGATTGACGACATCACATAATGAATTGACTACATCACATAATAGATTGACTACATCACATAATGAATTGACTACATCACATAATGGATTGACTACATCAGATAATAGATTGACTACATCACATAATGGATTGACTACATCACAAAATAGATTGACGACATCACATAATGAATTGACTACATCACATAATAGATTGACTACATCACATAATAGCTTGACGACATCACATAATGGATTGACTACATCACATAATGCATTGACTACGTCACATAATGCATTGACGACATCATCAAATTACGTTTACCCGGTAACATCATAAATTGGTACGTTTGGCGTTCCATATCCACCGCCGTGCACCCCGCACTGAGGTAATAAGGTGCCAATACAACATTGGCAACGAGAATAAATCGGTAATTCAAATGAAGTATCATTTTTTTGGAACATTTTTTCGGCGTTTGTTGAGAAAAACAAATTTCGTTGACAAGTATTTAATGAACGATGTATCTTCGCGTTTGCTGAGAGATATCTTATGAGGCCACACTCGTCAAAACCAATGACATGTTGTTAATATATTTTGTTGGTTTAGATATGTACATGTTTGAGAATTTTTCATAATTACATAGTGCTGTAAGTAATAAAGAAGCTGTTAAAATTATCCATAAAGTGTACAGCGTTTTTTGGTACATGAAAATTGATTCGCCAAAGATAACAACCATTGTCAGCCTAAATTGCGTTAATACTGCCAATCAGGTCAAACTGTTGGAAACAGGTCAACTCGTACGCGAACCAACTCGTACGCGAGTCAACTCGTACGCGGATTGGTCAACTCGTACGCGAGACAACTCGTACGCGGGCCATTTTAGGAGTGGTTTCGAGGATTGGGTTGGCATGGTTGGTAAGAATTTGGGAATAGTGTGACGGGCAGTCCGTAGTTCAATGTGTGACCGTTGTGTGTGATTGGGAGTGAGAGAATAGACAATTGCACTAACTGAAAACACAATCGGTCCTTTTCAGGGCCACCACGCATTTGCAGTGATATTAAATAAAATTCAATTTTTTTAAAATAAATCAAATTCACCTCCCCATTGTTTTATTTTACAAAATATAATTTGGAGACATAATAATTAGGACTAAAAATTATCGGACCAAAGCTAAAAATTAATTTTCGGATCCAAGAAAAAAAAAATATTTTTAGGGCAACCTCGAATTTCTGGTGAAATTAAATAAAATTCTAATTTTAAAAAATCAATGAAATTCACCTCCCCATTGTTTTAATTTACAAAATATAATTTGGATACTGAATAATTAGGACTAAAAAATTATCGGACCCAAGCAAAAAATTAATTTTCTGACCCAAGAAAATCGCATTTGACGGCAAGAAACCTCGCATTTCCGGTGAAATTATATAAAATTATGATTTTAACAAAAAATGAAAAAATCAACTCCCCATTTTTTCTTTTTTTACAAAATATTATTTGGATATATAATAATTAGGACTAAAAAACTATCTGAACCAAGCAAAAAACTGGCGGACACTGTCCGTACAACTGTATAAGCATGCGTGATGCTATATTCCTTTTTTTTATAGTAGCTCCTTTTTATACAATAGACCTCGCAAATATCGGTGTTTTCTTGTCATTTTACTTGTCTAACCAACCAGCAATTGTACCGCGGCATACACAGGTTACAGCGATTCAATCATGCATTCTTTATACACAGTGCGCGGTGCGGCGGGAACCAATCATACTGGTTATCGCGAAGACAACTTCCCAATCAATCAAGCGAACTTGTAAAAAAACAAACAAACGCAGAATTCTTCTACTGTAAGTAGCACTGGCGGATTCAAAAATCAACTACATTTAATTTGAAAATCTCCACCTTTCAGAAAAGGTAAAATTATGCCGACCTACCGTACCGAACCTAATTTCATCTGTCCATGTGAGCTAAACCAATCGTCTAAACTCACGCGTACGAGTTGGTCCGCGTACGAGTTGGTCCGCGTACGAGTCGGTCCGCGTACGAGTCGGTCCGCGTACGAGTCGGTTCGCGTACGAATTGACCCGCGTACGAGTTGGTCGCGTACGAGTTGGTTCGCGTACGAGTTGACCTGTATTCCAACTGTTGAGCGTCACTTCCAACAGAAGGCGTTGGCAGTATCGAAAGTGACCGGCTGTCGATACAGCCCAAATAACAGCTTCTTCGTAATATAAATTCATTTAAGTAAGTAAGGGCTAATAATGTAACAACATGGCGATTAATATCAACAAAGCTTCATCCGAAGAACTAACCACTCTTCCTGGGATAGGGTTAAAATTTGCTCAGATTATAACTACTGTCGGAAACGAAAAGGGCAATGTAACGATAGACGACTTCCATGAAACACCACCCCTTCAATCCAAACTACATGAATTGTCAGAAAAAGGGTTAATAACCGTTGAATACACTGATACGGAAAATGGCAATGAGTCACCCAAACCAGAAATCAAACCCGACCCAAATATTGCTCTACTGGCTAATCAAATGAGTACGTTGATCAAAGTTGTAGAAGCTAATACACAACAAGTTACGAAGGCCATGCACACCCTTTGCACAAGAAGTGACGAGTTTGAAACCAAAATGGTGGCCCTTTTACAAGGAAAGCCAACAGCAAAACCAGAAAAGCAAGCTACGCAATTTGCACAAACAAAAGAACTGACTGGGGATGCCACAATTGATGCAACGCTGAAAGCCATAGGGGACAAAGCCCCGCCTATACCCGCTTATATTCTCAATGCAACGCATACCAATGGTGAAATTTGATCTTAAGTACGTTAAGGCGTTGATCTTAAGTACGCGAAGTATGCACAAGCCGAACAAAAGCCATTCATGGCTCACTATACTAATCCGCCCATTGTCTCTCAGCCCTCTGGACAGCACACTGACCATAAACAAAAGAATCCTGCGCCACAACAATACTGAAAAAGAAATCTTGGAAATAGCACTTTGGGTTGCTGAGAAAATGGTCATTTTTCATCATGTATACACCAAAAAAGTACCACAGTAAGGGGCCATTCGGAATTTTCAATGTTTTAAAATTTCGATCTTTTTTCCAAATTGTGGGTGGGTGGGTCAAGCTAAATAATTGAAAATCGAAATTCACTTTCCATGGAAAAAAGAAAAAAAACGAAAAAAACAAAGATAGATCTTTTGACTTGTCTGAACTACGCGCAAGCGTTCCGATATCGCGATGCGTGTTTCTTTTCCAACTTCGTCCCCTGTATGTACTGTCAGTGGCGTAGCCAGGAATTTTTCAGTGGGGGGGGGAACATTTCATGGGGGCGTCATGTAGATCAATGATAATTTTTTTAGAAACTCAAAATCTCAGTGGGGGAGGCGACTGGGGGGGGGCTGTCGCCCCCTACGCCCCCCCCCCCCCCCCCCCCCGTGGCTACGCCACTGCAGGTCATACAGTTAAAGTTTATGTTAACTTGTATGAAAAGTCAAAGAAAAGTAACTCCCTTGATTTATTTGACACCAAGTTTGTGTTAACTTGCCGGTAACGCCCTAAAAAAATTATCCAGACAAATATGCTTATTTTGTAACATTTTCTGTTCGTCTGTCGGTCTTCTATGTTTACTTTTAGGTACCTTCAATGGTACTATGTTTAATTAACCTGTTCATTTGTGTAATTAAACTAATAACGCACATTATAGTTGCCAAATATGGCACTAACAAGTTTGAGGTCGGCAATTTCCTCTTTAAAAATCTGGGTACGTCTGGTTACCGTACACACAATTGTCCTGGAAATTTCTCACTGTGTCACACAGCTCCAAAGGTGTCGAATGTTTGGCTGTTCTCATTATGCACCCTCCCGCTGATGTTTATGGCATGTTAACGCAATTTGGCGGGAGGAAGCACGCGAGATGGTTCGGAATAAATCAGGTGTTTGTGCCGTCTGGGTCTGCCGGGTTCATTCTTTAATTATAATATCAATGCCGTTGCCATGGGGATGAACCCACTTTATGATTACGTGAACTTGGGCTTTTGTTCGTCATAAATATTGCCAACTTGTATGCCTATTGCTCATCGAGGGTAGTTTCCCTAACCTTTTTGGCTGCTATTTTGAACCACATCACGCCAGAGTAAACAGACCTCTCTATGGCCAGGCTATCATGGCTGAACATACACGGAAATGGAACACTGTAAATGAAACGAAATATTCCCCATGAACTTGTGATTTCCAATTATTTTATTTCCTCAATCAAATTTGTGGTTGGCTTTTCAGAGCCAGCATTAGTCCACGATCAATTAGGGCCTAAAAAGCGATATTAAATGCTCCGTTTTGTTCCACAACATTTTGTTGATCATCGTTTTGCGTAGTCTGGTTCCCAGACCAAAAGGTTCCGACTATTCCTGATGAATCTTAGGTCAGGTAGCCTCCGGTAATACAATGTATTACAATTTACATCACGTGACTAAAACGGGAGGAATTCTTTCCGAAAGTGTCCGAAGTTTGCCGAATTCATTTCGTCGACAATCGGATAGTGTCAGAGTATTTCCGAGTATAATATATGTTTTATTAACTGCTAATTGCTTATTAAAAATAAAAAAAATAGTTGATAATTAATATCCATTGCTTTTATTTAGAAAACTTGAAATTCAACGACGATTTTGCACTCGGATCGTATACGAGGGGCGAACTTTTTGCTGCGTCGTGCACTAGTTTGAATTTGACGACCGTTACCGGCATTTTCCAAAACGCGGCGTGGTCTCAATTCGGCTCCGCCTGCTAACAGTGCTGTTTGGGTGTCCAACTTTGAAGATTCCAGGTTAAAATTAGTCAATGTTTTTTTACAGAAGTATTAAACTGTATGATATATGAAGCAAGCGATTTATTTTTAAAACAATTATCGGAACATTAAAAGCTTTATGTGATAAAGCGAATTCGGAAACGAAGTCGAGCTTTGAAAAAGGGCCGTCAATGTCGTCATGTTTCTGGAAGTAAAGACAAGTAATAAAACGCAGTTTTAGGAATTCCTTTTAAACGTTTATAATTATTTGCGACAAACCATAAGCAGTCTTAGGTTGACATACACTGAAAAAAATATACATGAAATTCTTCAGTCTTTAGTAAAGATCTAAACCCCAGTCTAGTTAGAAAGATAAGCATCACGGACTTCTTTCGACTTCAAAAAAAAAACGTTTAAAAAAGTTTTCACTGAAAGAATACTTCTCTGTGCTTGTAGGGAAAAATTTGCGTTGATTTCAGATGACAGATAAATAAATGGGAGGCGTATGAAATGCAACAATTCTTAGCACAGGCTGTAGTGGAGAAAAGTGCTAAACAGCGTCGTTGTATTGTGAACATATAAAAGCATTCAAGTCGCGTTCTTGCACACTTTCTGCAAGTCGTCATAGATATCCTTGAACCACTGCCCCTGCTTTGCATAACACTTAGTGAGTGCACATGAGTGAACGATTCGACTTTTATTCAAAGAAATTTCTATGTACAGTCACCAGACTCTATTCAGTAAAGCCCCCGTCAAAACGAAAGTAAACAATCCACGTGCATAACGCACGGCTACACCATAGTACAGTGTGGCAGGGACACCAACAAGTAACGCAACAACTAAAATATTTTTAAAAAATTGATAAATATTCTGATTGAATTTCGTTAAAAGATACTTGTTGGTGAGGTATCACATATTCTAGCAAATTGATAAAAATGTACAATATTACAATACATGTATGCAATTTTGAGGGAAATGGTCAAAATACTGTACAAATAATTTCACTTGATCATATTCACATGGACGTCGCGAGGGGGGACAAGGGGGGGGGCACTTGCCGCACAAAAGCCGCACAAAAAAAAGGAAGAAAAAAAAAAAAAAAGAGGCGCGAAGACACAGAGGTGTAAATTTATTGAGTTGGGGGGGGATGTCCCTGCCCCCCTCTAAAACTGATAAATCGAGAATGTGTTGAGAAATACAAGCATTTTTTGGCAAAACAAATTTTGCCCCCCTCTAGAAAAAATCCTGGCGACGCCCATGCATATTCATAATACACAAACCGACAATTTTCATTTTCAGACGAGAAATGAAACATGTACGTCATGTAGGCCTACGTGTATCCAATCGCTATAAAACTGGACTATTCAACCACTTGACTCCAAGACTACAAGGACCGCAGCCTGTGATGTGATGTCTGCCTAAACCTGATGTTTCCTTTCGCTCGTACCCCCCGCCCTGCAAACAGGGCGGGGGGGGTGTTACGAGCGAATTTGTTTCTCAGCTACCTCACGTGACAGGCACAACCTCGTATGTCACATGTCATCCACCTCATCCAGAAAACGACAAAAACACGGTCATCTTTGTTGCTTCCAAAACTGCAACCTGTCATTCCCAACAGCATATCAGCTGGCAAAACACAAGAAAACTGAAGGTCACCAGTGCAAAAGAGGAAGACCGACAACTTCACGCCATCACTGAACTAGACACACATGTACATGGTGTTCAAGTACATGTACATGTAAGTGCATGTACATGTACATGTTCAGTTTTTTATTAATCGAAATTAGGGGTGGGTGGGTGGGTCAAAATAATTTGGAAAAAAAGTCGAAATTTTAAAACATTGAAAATTCTGAATGGCCCCTAAGGGATTTTCACTGTATTTTGTGCATGTCCTAATCCTTACAAACAACACGGCACAAGAGTACAAATGCATTTGATGGAAATACCTTTTATTTTCCACTGGAACATGTATCTCATCCTTTTTAGTCCTAGTGTAAACCCTTTCAGCATCATAATATGTCAAAATACCAAAGGAATTGCACAAATGAAGGATAATTGCATCAGTGTTGGAGCAAAGGCTTTGACCCTCAAGGCCAAGGCCAAGGCTTTGAACCTCAAGGCCAAGGCCAAGGCTTTGACCCTCAAGCCTCGAGGCCAAGGCCAAGGCTTAACCCTCAAGGCCAAGGCCAAGGCCCTGTTTTATGAAATGACCACTAATATAGAACTAATTATAGTCACATGAGTGACACATCATCACGCAAGGGCGGATCCAGAACACAATTTGCGGGGGGGGGGCAAAGAAATTTTGGTCCCCCCAAAAAAGTGGGTCAAAAAATTACGGCTTGGGCTTCGGGGCCCGCTTAAGGGTACCGAAAAAAAATTTGGATTCGAGATGCTCTGTGGTGCGATTTGAGGCAATTTCTGACCATTTTAACTGATGTTTTTTGAGGAAAAGATGGTGGTGTACTCATTGCCTGCCTTTATCACGACGTCGCATAAAAAAGGGGTTTTTTGGGGGGGGGGGGGCATGGCCCCTTTTGGCCCCCTGGATCCGCCCTTATCATCACGAATTGCTCGTTACGAAGAACAACATTTCTTTACTTGCAATCAACATGCTCGCATAGGCCTACACCGTTTTGTGACTGCATTGTATCTATTAAAGTATAAGTTCAGGTCTTCAATATGGTTTAACTAAACAAAATAATGATTTACTTCTATATTGACACACAATTCTCCCAAGTGTAACAAAAGGGGGATTCAAGAAACTGATTTGGGAAATTTTTATTTGCTGGCCCAACATGGTCAGAAATATCAGCATTATCTAAAACAGATACATGCAAATCTTTAGCACTTATCAGGGATACATATACAACCAATCAGATCTATTCCATAGTTATATGCAATTAAAGTGATCATCTCATTAGCCCCACAAGTGTACGGAATATTTTTGCAGCAAATCTACTACAATGGTAACAAAATGTGATGCTACAAAAGTGGAAGTGTGCCCAACACACAAATCTATAGGGTGCTTCCCTCCTCCATGGTAATACGATTAAAATGGTAACAGCAAAATTTCGAACAGATTTATCTGGAAAATGAAAAAATCTATGGGCCTTGAAGAGCCTTGACTCAAAATTGCAAGGCCCTGAACCCTCAAGGCCAAGGCCAAGGCCAAGGCTTTTGCCCTCAAGCCTCGAGGCCAAGGCCAAGGCCGTAAAATCCAGCCTTAAGGCAGCCTTAAGGCCAAGGCCCAGCATCAAGGCACTACATCACTGAATTGCATAGTAGGCTTACAGTTAAATGTTTCTCAGGTTGAAGTACTTGTGTACAGGATGAAAAATTACTACTTTTACGTCCTTTTACAATTCTTTTCTTCACCTTGTAAAGGTCTGTCATTGTAGAACGATCGTCCCTTTTAAAGAGTGACCTGAGGTTAAACTTGGTGAACATGATGAAGCAGGGAGTTCTCATCATATTCCTGTTGATGGTGCTTCTGCTACCCAGTCCTGGTGGTAGGTATATTCTTTCAGACGTAGATCAAGTAATTGCTTCTCGCCTGGGCTTTTTGAAGAAGAAAAAAGGAACAGGAAGTAGACGGCCCCTCCGAATATTCGAATTCGAAAATAAATAATTCGAATAGTTGATAATTGATCGAATATTCGGCACAACCCTACCATTTTTCCCTGAGATTGGGGTCCCAAGAATCTTGGGGGGGGGGGGGAAGCCAAAAGGACATCTCCTTAAGATGCGGATTTTCTTCCGACATGCTGATCGAAATGTCGAGTTAAAGAGTTCAATAATTAATATGAATACTGTCTTCGCTCTTTAACGAAATGAAATTTTAAATCATAACGAATTTGCGAGGCGGCAAAGAATTCGACATATTTCAATTATTTTTTCCTTTTATAGTAATTGTTGGCCAATTTTTTAATTTTTTTTTCGTTGATGTCTCATTCAAAAGTTAATAACTTTTGTATTGCTTTTTAAAAGCAATTGGAAAACAAATGTTATTTTTCGGGTTGATACTCGAAAAAAATAGTGTGTAGCATCTTTAAAGGGCATGTGATGGATTTTGTTTCTGCTTGAAAAGAAAACTAGATTTGAGGAGTCGTTGGGGTGTTGAGGTGTTTGTTTGTTTCTTTCTTTCTTTCTTTCTTTGGTTCTTTGAGCGTTTTTTAAATAAAACTCTCCTCGAAGTTTGAAACATAATCTAAACATTCAAATAAGATTGGCCATTTTCCCCACTTAAAAAAAAAATCCAGAATGCTTTTCAAGAAGACGAAGACGCCGACCACCTGTGTCAGCCCCAAAGCCAGCAACATGTAAGTAGCCTTCGGTTTTTAATGTTAGTTTCTTGTTTTTCTTGCCCTTTTCATGTTTTTCAAGCTATTAGTCACTGGTACCCCACATCAAGCGTGCCAATTACATGGCAGCGCAGTGGAACAGGTCAGATGTACCATCGAGGAAATTCTACCTCTATATAGAGAGCACATGGCTACATTATTTGGCTGATTTTTGAAATGAATTGCGAGGGTAAAAAAAACTGTAACTAACAAGTTTATTTATGATTTTATCATATTATTAGGCTGATACATGACTTTTTCCAGTTTTTTTAACCAAATAAGTGGCTATATTGGCTGCCATATTTGCCGCCATATTGGCCGCCATTTTGAATTTGAGGCATGATAGCAAAAACAGATACAAGAAATGAATTTGCGGGGGTAAAAAACATATAACAATTTTATTGATGCTTTTATCACATTATTTAGCTGATATATGACTTTTTTCCATATTTGTTTTACCATTTTGGCGGCCATATTGGCCGCAATCTTGGCCGCCATCATGCATTTGAAGCATGAAAGCAAAAAAGGATACCAGAAATGAATTTGTGATGGTCAAAAACATATAACTAACATTTTTAAAAACTATTTTATCATATTATTAGGCTGATATATGACTTTTTCCATTTTTTACCAACATGGCGGCCATATTGGCCACCAAAGTGGCCGCCATCTTGAATTTGAATTGAAAAATTTGGTGTAGGTTAGTTCTGGGGGTGCACGGGGGGTCCCCGACTAGCCTGGAGACTGAAGAGAGTTGGAGATGCTACTCCTTAAGTCTTCAGTCTCCTGACGATGCCTAGAGCAGGCTAGTCGAAACGTTGAGACCAAAGACAAGTTATTTTAGAACTAAAAGCAGGACGGTTCTTATCAGAACAAAAACTACTTAGCGAAAGTTAATAATAAGCAGGACAAGTTCTTTTCAGAACTAAATATCTCCTAAAGCAGTAGTTATTACCACATGGTGTTACCGCAAACCGTAATGACGTCTTTACATTTTTTACCAATTAGGTGGCCATATTGGCTGCCATATTTGTCGCCATATTGGCCGCCATTTTGAATTTGAAGCATAAAGCAAAACAAGGGTACCAGAAATGAATTTGCGAGGGTAAAAAACATAAAACATATAACAAAAAAAATGTATTGATGCTTTTATCACATTATTTGGCTGATACATGTAAATGACTTTTTTCAATTTTTTTTCAATTTTGGCAGCCACATTGGCTGCCATCTTGGCCGCCATCTTGGCCGCCATCATGCATTTGAAGCATGAGAGCAAAAAGGGATACCAGAATTGAGTTTTTGAGGTCTGAAACATATAACTAACTATTTTATTTATGCTTTTATCAAACTAATTGGCTGATATATGCCGTGTTTTTTTTCAGTTTTTTACTATTTTTGGCGGCCATATAATATCTCCAGAGCATCGGATTTTTTTTTTACTGTTAACATCCAAAATGTGTTTAAGGACTTTAAAAGGCACCCAAAAAAATTGGTGTAGGGTTTTTTTGGGGGGGGGTGCACGGGGTCCCCCATACATACTCTCCTAATAGGCTAGCCAATATGCGGACTGTGTGCCAAGCCAGATAACTATGGGGACTACTTTTTATGGTGACTGCTCTATGTTCCGACACTCCTATGTTCCGACAACCTAGATTGTGTTACTCCCGGTTAGGGTTAGGGTTAGGAATAGGAATATGTGCAGTCGGATCATAGGGGTGTCGGAACATAGAGTTGAACCCTTTTTATTGGGCTCACTTATCTTCTTGTTTTCATAACTACAGCTGATACTCGGAGCTATATGATGTTTGGCACTGGTGGCGCTTTCCTCGTGGTAGTCGTTCTTGCTGTGGGTGGTGTCTGCTGGTTAGTATTATCAAAGATCCTATAAGGGAAGATAGGACTCTTGGTATATTTTTGTACGGTGACCTATGAAACACGATGACGTCATCAAATTGGGCTATGGGGAAGGGCGCCCCGGGTCGGGCGGTAGGTAGGTAAACGTGCCTGCGGCTACGCAGAATCTACAGAATCTACACGTACACGTGAATTCGAGTGGGATTTTCAGTGAAGAAAAAAAAAACTTCGAGAAATGAATTAAACAAGTGCAAGTGCGAGTGCACAGCAAGCGCCGTCTTGCATGAAAGTCTTGCATGAAATCTATCAAAATGATCCCTGCCAGAGGTTAAAAATGCGACACCCAAAAATGCAACGTTCCAAAACTTCAAGTTCCAAAACTGAAGATTTTAACCGTCTCTTTAGATTCAATATGGCCGACCTGTGAATTAGTCTGGTTCTCTTCCCCATTGTCCTTCGGACTATTATGCATGGGGGCCGGGAAACAGTTTACTTGTGAATAAGGCCATCAGGCCCGCGCACCTGGGCAGCTGTGATTGGTCAAACCTTATCAATGGGCGTGGCTTAATAAGGCTGCGAGGTATCATTGGCTGTTTTGTTATAAGGTTATAAGGCGGATTATTTAAACTTCCTCATGCACAACGCCTGCACTGCGACCACAACTTAATGTTTTCTTGTGAGGCGATATGTGGTTTCATTATGTGATAGGTATAAGGGAACTATGAATTATGCCATTATGAGCTGGGGTTTTATGGTCTCGTTTTGCGCAGGCGGAAGCGGACCAAGCAACTCCCTACTACTGCACCGACTCCCAACAACGAGAGTGCCGAGATGGCGGGCGACGATGAACCTGGTCCCGAGATGTGAACGGCGGCAGATTTGGACAGGGATCGAGCGAGCCTCATAATTCCCCGGAAACCGGCTCTTGTGTTACTTGATAATGATTTTATGTTATTGGCTCTTTGTTTATTTTGCACACAAGCAGCTATAGGCCTAGTATTCGTCTCTATAATGTCTCTTCTCTGTCTTTGAATTGATATTTTCGTCCGTAGTTGATATTTTCTTTTTTCCCTGGAACATTTTTCTTACGAAACGATAAATATTAGATCGTTAAAATTTCATACCCCTTTTTTCTTCCAAAAATGATTTCCCCCCCCCCCCCCTCTCCTAACGAAATTTAAATTTTATGTTTGATTTTAACGAACTACATTGCATGAAATGGGCTCCCAACACGTTCTGTTATAGACCTTTATCATGCTGCCACCATTTCAGTCATGATCCCAGTATCCAATAACAGTACTGAATGATAATGTGGGTTTTGGTTTTTTTTGCAAAAAGGAACCAGACTATTTTTCCTTCCAGCCTCGCTTTGGTTACGTTGATTTAAATGGGGAAAAATCAAGATGGCCGCAACATGATGATGGTCTTTACAACGAAGTGCATGGAAGAATCCTTTTCACAATTATTATGGCGATTGGCTTGAGAACTACTTTCACGGGTGACATCACTATAGGAGGGGAAACACATGCTAACGTCATTGGTTATTCACCCCAGAAATTGAATAGAAAGAGGGTCAATCAACCTTTAATTAATGTGTGTCTCGAACACCGTGAGAGTCTCAACCTTCAAGTTATGAGTAGAGATTTCCCGATTTTGTTTTTATTTTTGAAGTGAGAGTGTTTATCTTTTGACGCAGTGGTGATTTTTGTTGGTCTGCATCCCGAATCCGAGGAGCCTGCATGGACCGTGTTCCCTGAATGTATGTTATAAATTGTGAACTGTTGAATGGGATGGTGCCAGACTACATGCATTCTGGCCTCAGTTTCATTTTTTTTTGTTAAAATGTGGCTTAAAACATTAGGATATGTTTAATCACAAATTTTCGATTATTCATCACAGCAGGCTGGTATTAATTTGTAATGTACACCGTATTTCATTGCTTTCATTTCTCTTCGCAAGTTTCAAAAATTTACAATTTACCTCGCTTTCCATTTAATATGGCCGACTCGTCAATGAAGCCCATGGCAATTTCACGAGCAATAGTCGCAGTCGAATACATGTACTTGTCTTTTTTCCCTGTAAAATGTGACCTGCCATATCATAATGAGGAATAACCCCACCTTTGACTTTTAAAGCTATACATGGATCGTGTTGAAGCGCAAATTATATTGGCTTTCCAATAATACCAAGTTTGTTTCTGTACCTTAATTGTTTTTCAAAGATATGCCGCAGGAACTTCAACAGTGTCCCTCCGTCGGCCTCATTTCGAGAAGAACGACTTTGAAAAAAAAAAAGATATGAATTGCGCTGCCACCGGCAGTGAAAAACGTTCTTCAGTTCTTCCACTTGAGGGGGTATTTTTCCCCAACAATAATGCTATAGTGCAAGTATGAATCTTGGATACCTTGGCTACTCACACACACACAAATATCGATTTTGACATGCCTGGTTTTTCTAGTATCCGACTTCGTTGATTACTCAAAACAAGGTATTGGGGAACATTCTTCATTTTGCCACAGTAGGTCACAAATAAGTAAGACGGTAGAGGTCGCTATCAACAAGATGAATCAAATCCGGTGTTTTGGGTACTTTTGGCAGCGCTTCAGCGCTGAATATTCCGAATTTTTCACGTGCGCTGTGTTCAATCCAGGCCTAATCTTGTGATAGCGACCTCTAACGTCTTGTATGGACCAAGACTATACTTGAGACTTAAAAGTTTGTTCACTGTTTTTCGCGACCCGATGGTCGTCAATTTTTTGTCTTGAGGCATTGCCTTTTTGTGTTTGGGAAAGAAAATTGAGGAACATTAGGAATCATAATCTTTTATTCATATGATGACGATCCACTTTTATTGTTAATAATTACAACAACTTCCGGTTCTATTACTGTAGTTAAAGCTTACAATAACACTTCTTTCACTTCAAAAGTTTGAACATTTTGTTTTTTAATTTGGTGTTTCTACGTGTTGAGAAAAAAACCTGTCTTGCTAAGGCCAAAAAAAAAATAATAATAATCGGTCCCTGGTCATACCGAAGTTGCGGAATTGATGCGGCGACGCGGTGTTTTTTTTTTGGGGGGGTGGCTTTTTTTGTTTTCAAGCTTGAATTGTACAGACAAGGTGGGTACTATTTTGCTTTTTTTGTGTCCTCATTTTTTTTTGGGGGGGGGGGCCTAAAGTTGTTATCATTTTCATTCATCCCAAAAGTAATAGACCTGGCAATGCTGGCGGAACACTTTTAAAAGCGTGTGTGTAGGGGGGGGGGGGGAGGACAAAGCACGGTCAGTGCCGTCTGGCTGTTGCACATTCGAAAAGCGGGGGGTCGGGGGGGGGTGGGGGTGGGGATAAACCTCATTCATCAATAGGGGCGCCCTTTTCCAAGGGTACGCCATTGTGGGACTTACTGTGGGGGCCATGCCCCCCCCCCCCCCCCCCCAGTGGAAAAAGAGGAGCAATCCCCCCCCCCCCCCCCCCCCCGAAACCGCGGTTGTCGCCACCAGTGCCTGGTAATCTACCGAATTATTTTCAACAAGCTTATTTTGATTAAAGATCGTTCTGGTACCAAACACCCCACTTGAAATTATTCCGTCTAGCTAGCTGTCATATTGAAGAAATCAAGACTGAAGATGATTTCCAACGATCAGTTAATTGACTGATTTTTTTATATTAATAAAGAGTGCTCGACAAAATCGTGTTTCGTGATCAAACGGTTGTGCATGATTTTTCACTTTTTTCTCGAAAAGTGTGAAATCGATCGAGCAGAAATTTCAACAGGTTATGTTTTCAGCATTCTTCTTTGGATTTCGAGCGGTGTTATTACCTTCGCCAAGGAGGTTATGTTTTCATCGGATTTAGTTAGTTTGTTTGTTGGTTGGTTAGTTGGTTTGTTGGTTTGTCTGTTAACAAGATAACTCAAAAAGTATGATGGGCGGATTTGCATTAACAATATTTTAGGTGGGGTCCTTGGTGGTCCTTGGTGCAAATCGATTAGATTTTGGAAGTGATCCGGATCTGGGTCTGGATCCAGATTTTGTTTGAGGATTCTTCACCATTTATGCAAGTATTGTTTAGCCTTGGCGGAGGTTTGCGCTCTCAGTGGTTTCTAGTTTATTTTGGAAACGAAAATTGAACAAAACGATGATAATGAATCGAATTTCTGGTTGTCGGCTGTGCGGTAATTGACCAACAGAGGGCGCTGTGCTGTTTCAGTTGAAAAATAAACCGCGCCTGCTCCACTCTCTCTCTCTTCCACATTGATGGCCGTTCGGATGCCGTATTTTCTACCGGAGACTGCAGGAAAACATCGCCAAAAAACATCATTTCGACCGTAGGAGACCGATACACTCGCACCTGGAACCCAACGGGACTGGATGTTGTTTCAGTAGGCTGTTAAAATCCGGCTGTAAGCTGTTTCCCGAGTAACAAACGGTGGAAAATTGAGATGGATTCGAAGTTGAATACGGTAAGGTTTTCGTCTGGTTGTGTGTTGTGTTGAATTATTTATTGACAAGATCGTAAAACCCACGCTATATTTTTATGTTGTGTGTGTGTGTGTTTTGGCTGGGCTCGAAAAGAGGCGGGGCTTACATTTTCATTTTGGCACATTATGATTTAGGCCTACCAGGAAAGTGTGCTGCGGTTTTGCTTGTTTTTTTTTTTGCCAACAGCAACAATCGACTTATTTTCAGAGTAAGTCTAATGTTGTAAACCATATCAAGCTGTTTCTGCTGTTGATTTTTGTGTTGCACTTGCAACAGTGAAATTGTAGTTTAGGATGCCTCTATTTGTTTTACTAATGACAATTTTATCCAAAACTGACTTTATTATGATGACAATCAATTCCAAATGACAGAAAAATGTTGCAACCTGACGCCACCTTATTCTTCATAGGCCGATATTAGTGTTATCATCTCAAATGTAGGTCATTCATTGCAAAAATGATGATAAAAGTTAAAACATGAATCTGGGACTAAGAAACATTTCCAATTTTGTAATGTTAGGGAATACTTAGAACATTTCTTGATTCTCCATAAAATCTCCATAGACTTTGTACACAATCACAGAAGTGGCGTCAGGTTGCAACATTTTTATCTCAAATGACTTTTGCAGCCTCAAGCAATGTTTTTCATTTGGATTTTTATTTATTAAAACATTGTTTTGATCGGTACTTTTTTTGGCAAACATTTCGATTTTCTCACCTGTTGTTCAAGGAGTCACAGCAGCAGTTCGGACACCGTGTCATTTTACCCCATATTTTCCGTCTTAAATAAAAAACCTGCCCTCTTTCTGCAAAATAAAGCCTGCTGATATTTTTTATCTTAGCGCACTATTTAGGTGAGGCCCAAATCATAAAGTGACTTTTCTTGCTGGTATCGTAGGTTAAGTCTGGGAATTGTCTTTTCATTCACTATATGAAATGTTTCATGAACTACACTTTTACCAAAAGAGGTATAATATTCTGCCGTGTTTTTATATTGGTAAGATTGATTCTTCAAGATTTTGAAAATAATGGAGAAAAAATGTCTGTAGTTGGTTTGGATTTGGTGATGTATGGAAATGATAATTTGCTACAACAAATTGTAGTTAATGTCACATCAAGAATGAAAACTTATCAGTTTTGTAACCAGTGACTGTTTTTTGAGATTATAGAAAATATGTTCATGATTTGGTAAAAAATGGAGTCTTTGGATGGTGTACTGTTCAAAAGATAAAGTAGGTCCAACTAACTTGGAGAAAAATATTGATTTAGTGGATTGAAATTTGTTTTTGTCCGTTTACGTTATTTTATTATTTTTTTAGGCCATTTCCTTTTTCATAACGCTGTTGCTATTTTTACGGAAGTCGTCTGTTGCGCATGCATCAGTTATCAACAGAATGGTTCTTGGACTTTTAACTTCTCTCAAACCCCAAAATTCCTACAGAGCCATGAATCAGAAAGAAAAATGCAGTGTACTTTAGTGCAAAGTAGGATTTGATTTTAAACAATAAAAGTAAGAAATTGTATAGCGCCTATTTAGAAACTAAAAACGTTACTACCAAGATTCGAACCCTGCACCTTCGATCGGCACTCAAAATGCACATTATTTATATCTAACTTATTGAGGAATTTCAAACCACGTACAGGTATGTTGCAAATTTGCAATTTAAGCCACATTAGGGCTACCTTAT